CATTGGCCAAGCAATGGCCGTGACTCATCCACATGGCTGCACTGACAAAGGTTCTACAATCTGAGGTACAGGATCTCAAGATAAATCCTGAGGGGATTTCACTGACCTTCTCAGACCAAAATGCTACAACTCTTATTGCACAGGTCCTGCTTTACCTTGGTCTTATCCATCCAGTAGAAAAGTATGAAGACGAAATATAGGAAGTAAAGCCATGTTGTTATGTTGAGTTGTGGGGGACTCAGGTCAATAATTTCTGACATTGCCAGTTAAACAGAAGACCCAAGGCTATTATGGTATACTGGACTGTTTTAGAATATTTTGCTGAGTTTACACACCTATAATATTCAATAACGGAACTTAGTAAAAATAGGGTATACAGATGAATGTCCATTTTGTATCTGTGTATTGAAAGTGGTTAGGATAGATATATAGTTGCATTCTCTGAATGAATAGAATGATTTGTTCTAATGGTGTTTGTAAATAGGATCTCAAGTCCGTATCTTTACAGCAATTAACCACTAAGAAGAATATATGCAGTGTGTTATTTGTTGAAACTGTACTTACGATTTGATTTGAAACTGTCTCATTGCTGTTTATCAATAAAATTTTGGAAAAAAAAAAGAAAAAACAAACAAAAAACAAAGATGCTGCTCCACTGTTCTATTAAACTTCTCTTAAAGGTTCTATGAGTCCTGGTAAGATAAGAAACATCGAGAATTTTCAGAGAGAAGAGTAACTGTGATCAGTGAATGAAAAGGAATAATGGAACCCTAAATGTAGGTTTTGGGGACAGCAATAGGAATTGAACAATTAATAAATATTCTTCTTAATGAAGAAATCATCTTATAGGCTTCTTAACTGCTGTACCACCAGAAGAACATTGCTTTTTTTTTTTTTTTTTTTCTTGTGCACTGTTGGCTCTAGATTTGGGAAAGAAAAATGTGCCTGTTTGTTGTTCATGGTGTGGCATGAGTTTAGGCAAGATTAATTGGAGATGATGCACCTGAGGGGCCTGTCAAGGGTTCAGTACACTCTATGTCTGAAGAGAGAATACGTGCCAGGGTTAGTGTAGCAGTGCTAGAATCAGATGGAAAAAGATGATTTGAAGAAAAGAGACATATGCAGAGGATTCTTGGTCTGCTGAGGTGGACTGGGTGAGTTAAGGAAGAAGAGAGGTAATGGATGTTGAAAGAATTCCCGAAAAACTGATGGTCCAATGCTTGTCTGGTCCTAGGAAGCCTCAAAAATAAAAATCTAAGATGCTCCTATTTACCAGCCCTGTGTCATGGGGTGGATGACTCTGGGCTGTGGCTACCCACGCGTAATGGCAGGTGCCCTCTCTACAGCGGGCACTGGACAGCTCAGACGGAACACTGACAGTAAGGCATTGTGTAGACATGAGGGGGCAGTGCCCGTGAGTCCTCTACTTCATCATCACTAGTGAGATGGGTTAGAGACAGAGTGACAGTATGGAAAGGTCATGCATTTGGACCCTTGTGCCACCTGCCTGTTTAGAAGCACTATAAATTCAGGTCAATCACTCAGCCTTGCTAATCTTGCTAGTGTGGTGACATGTGACTAAGAATGAAGTAATCACTCTTTTTTCTCACAAAGATTTAGTGATACATATCTGAAATGGTTTCTTACTGTACTTTCCTTTTCTTTGTGTGAATCCCAAAACAATCTATAAAAGAATTTTGCAAACAAAAATAGCTAAACTAAAGCAAGTATTAGTTAATTTTTCTATTTTTAAACTAAAACTATCTCATTAGACCTATAGAAGTGCAGATATGTCCACAGATAGATAGTTCATAGATAGGCCTACAGCATGAATTCTTAGATCTGTTTTGGCTGACATTAAAAATATTGGCTCTCAAAATGGTCAAGCCATGGCCGTGACTCATCCACATGGCTGAAACCGACAAAGGATCAACAAACTGCGGTACAGGGTTTCAGGATAAATCCTGAGGGGATTTGACTGACCTTATCAGATACAAAAGTTACATTTCTTGTTATATAGGTCTTGCTTTATCTTGGTCTTAACCATCCAGCAGAAAAGTATAAAAACAAGGCATAAAAAGTAAAGCCATATTAATATGCTGAGCTGTAAAAGGCTCAAGTCAACAACTTCTGTCATTGCTAGTCTTACGGAAAACCCACTACTATAATGGACTACTGGACTATATTGGATTATTTTGCTGAATTCATACACCTACAATATTTAAATGACAATGGAATATCCATCTCTGAGAAAACTAAATAAAAAAGGGGATACAAATAAAGGACCATTTTGTATCTGTATATACAAAATAGTCAGGATAGATATACAGCTACTTTCTCTTAATTCAATGAGAAGAAAGATTTGTACTAATAGTGTTTGGATAGGATATCATGTCTGCATCTTGTACTATGAATAACCACTAAAAAGACAACAATATGAAATGTATTAATTATTGAAACTGTCTTCCTAATTGGTTTTGAAACTGTCTCATTGCTATTAGTTTCTCAATAAAATTAATTAAAAAAATGGCTCTCTTGCTAAGGTTGACTCAATGTTAAAAAATTGTTGCACTTTATTTAAATACAGAATAGAACTTTTTATTAAGCTAATGTGCAAAGGAAACATTTAAAATATTGGAGTAGCTTATACATGTAAGGTATTCTCTGTTTGGAAGGAACAAGCAAGATTTTTTTCCCCATTCTCTCCTCATAAAGTCACTTACAAATTTATAATCAGTGTTGCAGGACCTTGTAGTAACAAATGGGCATTACAGCCTCCTTCACAGGATCAGCAGGAGAACAATGCACAAGAAGGCACAGGGCGCAACCGCACCAGGCCTGTCACCACCTTTGCCTGGCAAGCACCCTTTCGTCCTTTCACCATCAAAGATCATCTCTGGTCTGCGCAGTTTCCTGAGTTTTAAGATTCCTTGAGATTAAAGTTTTTTGGTAGTGCTCCAGTTTTCCTCCTACCAGAAAGACTGCTTCTTCCTCTTTTATGTACCATGAGGAAAATGTCAAGAGAAGAAGAAAAATAGGTCCACAGCAAAGGGTCCTCATTCTCGTTTTATTGCTCTTCACTTTCATCACAAGATTATTTACAATCTTTCCTCTTGTTCACTCCTTTCTCACAAGAAAGTATAATCAGTTTATTCAGTGGGAAGATAAAGGTTTCTTTTTGCCTTTCCTTTTTCAGAATATGTAACATCACTGTAATTTTTCCCTAGGGAAGCGCAGTCCTGTGCATCCACATCTTTCATCTCTGGAGTCAAGGTACAGGCTGCTGGACATTGGACATGCTCCTAGATCAGATGAACTCCTTCAGGCCTTTGCCAGAGCAATGGTACAGAACAGATGGGCCTAAACTATGTCTCTTCCTGAAAGCAAATTATGTTGCAACTCTGTTAATAAGACAATCTTGAGACTGGGCGTGGTGGTGCACACCTGTAATCCCAGCTCTTGGGAGGCTGTCAACAGGCAGATCACTACGAGTCTGATCTACTAGTGAGACCCTGAACACCCTGTAGACCCTTCCCTAAAATAAAACAAACAAACAAACAAGCAAACAAACAAAAGACAATCTTGGAGACCTTGCCTAAGGTAAGGCAGCCCCAATGCTACTACTTCTAGCTGGCCTTGTCTCAGTAGATCACACACAACGTGCTCGGCAAAGATTTGCCAGAGAAATTAAAAGAGAGGGAAAACATAGTAGAAAATGCTCTCACCTACCTCCCCACCCCCCAGCCAGTATGTATCAGTTTTCCAGGTGGCAGTTCCTGTTGTGGTTCCAGTTGTTCCTGGCTCTTACAAATGGTCCATCATATGACACACACCGTATAAACCAACCCCAAGTTGACAGCTATTCTGTCTCTGTACTTCCTCCTTGCTTATCCCATATAAGCCCTGGACTATGAGAGACTGGGGCCTGACATTTAAGGGACAATTGACTCCCTGCCTGTATCTGTCCAACGTTAAATGAATCTGCCTCCGAATTCTGGGTGTTGTTTTGGTGTTTCTGTTTGCCATTGCATAATTACCTAATGGCAAGTGACACCGTGAAGGAAACTATAGAGAAAAAGAAAACACATAGAGGTGTGACATTTGCCATTTAAAGCATTAAATCAAGAAATAAAAACTGAGACAGCTCATATACTATAGCATCTTAATCACGCTATAAAATCAAGTGTAACATAAACATGCCTTATTCTTTTCCATTTGCATTTTTCTGTCTAGAAAATCATCTTCCATGCTCTTTTCCCTGTTAAGAGCAAGAGCTGTCAGCAACTACGTACTCACCGTCATCTTTGTCGGGAAGGATGGTGACCTGAGTCCCCGGGAACTCGGTGCCCAGCCTCCCGCCCATGGGCATGCTCAGAAGGACTCGGAACGTCTCCTTCCCCTCATACAAGGAGTCGTCAATCACAACGATCCTGCACATTCGCTCCCGCTCATCTTTGTCAAAGCGGACGACACTGGTGTGGTCCTCGGGCCTGGATATGTAATCGGAGTAGGACAGCACTGAGGTGGGCACCGTCCCTGTGGCTGTTCCTAGGACAAAGGGAACCAGAGGGGTCTCACGTGGAGCTGATTGCCAGAGTGTTCCTATGCAGCCTTCAGTGGGTGTTTGTGTGCAAAAAACGGCCTGGACCTGCAACTGCGGCCAGGCGCCGTTCCTGTGGCTCTAGCGTCGGTGCCCAGCGTCTTAGGCCGTGTCTGCGCCGGTCACTGCCAGCAGCGGGCCTCGACACCAGCGCGGCCCCACAGCGCAGCAGCACCTCCTCTGCAGATGCTAAGACGCGCAGGCCAAGGCCAAGCGCTTCACAGGTCTGCGCATCAATAGCCTTAGCTGCTCCGCTGAGTTTTACGCCATTTGCTGACTGAGCTTTTCATTAGCTGAGCCGAGGCCAATACAGAAATTGGGTTTTAATCTGTCTATCATCTATCTATCTATGTAAATTTAAATTAAAGTTGGAAGTTTAAATCAATAGTATATGTGATTTTGTGAATTACACTTTTGGAGAACTAACTGGGTTCCTAAAAAAGAATTTAGCATACTAACAAACATCATATGGTTTAATTTTAACTGTATTACAAAAATCACCATGCACAGGAGGCTCAGCCATGAACAAAACAAATATTCTGAAATAGATTCAAATGTGTTTCCAACTCATTTTTAATTAGTTGGCTACAGCAGGTTTTTTGTTTTTTGATGCAGGGTCTCGCTAAGCAGTGCAGACTCTCAGTGAGCATACTGTCTCAGGTTTTGGGACCGGCAATAGCATCTAGTACACGGGATTGAACTCAAGCCTTTATGCCAGGCAGGCACTTAGACCACCCAGCTATCTCCCCAGCCCTGAATTCAGGGACGTCTGCAGTAGGTAGGAGCATATTCTTCTTAGGCACCCTCGGTGGAGCCTTCAAAAGAACAATTCTGAAGAAAACTTCTAAATAAATGCTTTTCAGCACTTCTGGAAAACCTCATGTTAAGGAGCACCTCTGGTTGCAAAGTGCCACAGACCCAGTGAGCAAAAAGGCTTATTTTTATCCTTTGGAGGCTACTTCAGTTATCTTGTTTTGTTCTATTTTTAACTTTTATGTCTTTACAAATCAAGCTACCTTGCTGTGTGGAGCAGAGCACCATGAGCTCCCGGCTGGCGTCTCCGCTCCTCCTGATGGGAATGAGCAGCTCCCCCACATCTTCTTCAACGGAATACTCAGACTGAGGAATGAACACCGTTGACTCTAAGGAGAAAACACAATCACAGGTGCAGTCATTTCTGCCCCAGCTCCTTAGCCAGGAGCCAACTCTACGCCAATTAAAATTTCCCTCATGATGGCTTCCCCACTGCATGTCCTTTCAGAGTCACAGTGCACGGGGAGAGGGGCAAAGTTGTAAGCAGGCAAGGTGCAGGCTTTGGGATAGGGAATTTGCCAATCTAGACACAAAATTCAAGACAGCTTTTATTTCCAATTGTTGCTTTTTCGCCAAGTGATAAATGCTGCTAAAACAGTTCTGTGAAATCCAGCTTGGTTACCTACACCAAGGGAATTTCTTGTGGAGTGGTGTAATCTGAGGTGAAAACACATCAGAAGTTGTCTGGCCCTGCCTTTCCTTTACAGGCAGGACTGCAGGATCACAAGCTGAACTTAGTGACCAAGGATATTCAATGGTTGAGTCAAGAGGAAAACTCAAATCTTGCTAGGTCTTACTTTTCTGGGTAAGTTTTTCACCTGAGGACAGTTCTTTGGGGGTAATTTATGACTAAATGTACATTTTGTTTAACTCTGTTAAAATCGCAGTTTCTTTAGAATGTATAAATTTACTTATCAGTTGGAAGAAACACTCTAGCAAGATAATAATAATGTGTACACAAATTATATTTATATAAGTCTCATTGGTTGATTTTTTTAACATAGTCGCAAAGTTTAATAATAAAAAGGGCAAGAAAAGAGCATAATTAAATTGTGATAAACTACAGAACTATGTACAACTCTAACAACTACTTAGTTCAGTAGTTTGAAATTGTGAATCTCAAATAGATTTGATTGGGAATCTGTTTCCCTCAGTCTCACATTCATACAGAAAACTCTCAATGATTATTTTTAAAACAGTAACCCCACATTTTTCAGGAATTAGAAAAATGCTGGAACAGCAGCCAATAATACCCCTTAGGGGGGAAGTTCCAACCTGCTCCAGGCCTGGCATTTAAGGCACATAGACACACATAGACACAATGTGTCTCTTTCCCTGTAGCTTCCAGCTGGTTCAGCCAAGGGGAAACAAGAAGAAGCTTGGCAGGCAGGAACCAAGAGAATCTGGCCTGCTTTCCCAGATTCTCACTGGAAGCCAGAGCTGGATTTGACTCTGTGCTCCAACCACAGGCTATTGAAGGCCCCTTGGGCTTGGAGGTTGTTGGGCATGGACCTTCATAGATTTGGCTGCTGTCTGTAGATCTCCTGAACCCTCCCTGAACTTTGTAAAAGTCATGAAATTAAATTCATTCTAAAGTACTCATAAAAAATTAGGAAGGTAAGCAAGGCTGCATAAAAGGGACTGAGAAGGACCCTCGAAAACAGGGACAACCAAGAAGGTACAGGTGTGGAGGCTGAGCACGAAGCGGAAAGAGGAGCCACGTGGTAAATACTGGAAACAAGTCAGGTAAGTTCAGAGCCGACATCTACTCTCTAGATCTAGCAAAGTGAATGCTTAAAAATTTGTTTATCTTCACCAGAACTGTTTTTGTGGAACAGAGGAGGCAGAAGCTCAGGGGGCTGGGTTTACCGGAGAATGGGAGGACGAAGATGGAAGAGGACATGTGTATTCACGTTAGTCATGTGGTTTTGCTTTAAACAGGATCAAGGTTGCATCTAGAGAAACATTTTTGTTAATTTCTTATTCAGATCAGTTTTAGTAAGGCCAGGAATTGCACCTACAAGTATGAAGTAAAAGCTTACTGAATATAAAATTTTCAAAGTGGACATTACCATGGCTGTAGTATGAAAAATACACAAAGTACCATGGAACATGTAAATCAAATACTCATTGAAGGTCTTTTTATTAATTTGGACAATTAACTCAGATGTCACCCAGGTTTGGGCAGTCATCATGTCATGAACTCCATGGCATAAATGGTGGCACACAGTACTGTGGGAAGCCTGAGGTTTGTTGTGGGCTGAATGTTTGTGTCTTTTCAAATTCATATATTGAAATTTTAACCTACAATGTAATGGTAGAGGAGGCTTGGAGAGTGAGCTTTAGGGGAGGCCACAGGGGCTTCCAGGGTGGGACTGGTGTCTGTAAGATTCTCAGGGCAGAGTTTCTCCATGAGGAAGCAAGGACTGCTGAGTGGTACAGAGAGAAGTCACCTGTTTGCAAGTCAGGAAGGGGCCAGCAACTACACCTGCCAATCTTAAATCCTCCAGCCACCAGGAGTATGAGAAATAAGTGTCTGTTGTTAAGGCTGCCAGGTCTATGGTATTTTCCAATAACAACTGGAGCTGATCAAGGTAGGCTCAACATCAGGGTCTGGTGGCGCATATCTGTAATCTCAGCACTGGGGAGGCTGAGGCAGGAGGATCATAGTTGAGTTCGAGACCAGGCTGAGCTACATAGTAAGTTCAAGGCCAGCCTGAGTGTCACAGTGAGACCCTGTCTCAAAATGACAAAACAAACAAAAAACCCAAAACCCATTTTTTTTTCATTTTTTAAAAAAGAAAGGCTCAATCACAAATAGTATTCATTCCATACTGCTAATCTATACTGGCCAGTTTTCTTTACACATAGCTTACTCAGGACAGTTCCATGGATAGGATTTTAGACACTCAAACCCCTTTGGGATTTAATCCTTCAATACCTGAACTTTAGTTCTTCCTCTACTTCATGAGTGGAGTAGATTTTGTTAAACAAGTTTAGACTTTTTGTTAGTGCCAATAGGTTGAAATTATGAATAAATAAAAAAACCTAGTGACCCAATCGTAACTTCAGCTCTGGAATTCACTCCTATCTGACAGACAGTAAATAGGCCCAGGATCAAGTTCAAGCTGTCTGTTAAGCTTACTTCTAACTAAAATGTGCAATAAGTTGGAGAAACTAGGAAAGAGTATCAAAAAGACAAAGACTTCTTTAGTAGACTTCTCAGTTAACATCATTTTTCAGTTTCACTTATGCGTACAACAGAAGCTCATGTGTGGTCACTTCAACCAAGCATAGCTCTTCCAGTGTAAAATTTCTAAAAGCTTCACTGCTGCATTAGCCTTAAAAACTGTGACTTAATACAAACGGAATTCTCACCATTTGCTAAGCCCTATTCTAAACACGTTACACATACTGAGTAGTTTTGGTTGGTTTGTTTGTTTTGGGGGGTACTCAGGGTAGCATCCAGGATACTCTACTGCTGTGCTACAACCCAGCCCTTTTTAGGTTTTGAGACAGGGACTTGCCAAACTGCCTAGTGGGGCTCTAATTTGTGACCCTCATCCCTTAGCTTCACAGTAGCTGGGGTTACAGATGCAGGGCTGTGCCCGGCTCTGGTAGGTTGCATTTTTGCAGTGTCCTTTGAGGGTAGGACTGTCACAGCATTATCCTACCTTTGAGTGTAGAAGACACCAAGATTCAGTACCCTAGTGAAGACTAAGGTGTTAATAGGTGCTGGTGCTGGATTTGAACCTATGAAGTCCACCCAGAGCCCCTGAGCACAATTACACTGCTCCACTTCCTAGAGAAAGTAGATGTGGTGTCACAGGGACCCTATTCCAGCCACAGGAAAACAAAGGGCTAAACTGTAGAAGTGAGTTTCAGAGCTGAGGGCATGGTTGGGACACAAAGTCTTTTATTTATTCATAATTACAACCTATAGCCACTAACAAAACGTCTAAGCTTGTTTAATGTAATGTTAAGGCAGAACAGAGAAGGCAGAGGCAATAGAGATAGATGAAAGAAAGCGAGAAGTAAAATTTGTAGGATTTCTTTAAAGATTCTGTGTGTGTGTGTGTGGCCTGCTCAGCCACCCTGGGGGTGGAACTCACATGGCATGTGATGCTGGGGATGGAACTGCAGTCCCTGCACTTGCTTAAGCTTGCCTAAGCAGGTGCTTTAGACCACTGAGCTGGCTCACCAGCCCCAACGATTCTATATTTTCATAAACTGTTTTATATGTATAAAATTATCTGCATACAAAACTATAAAGTTATGTAAAAGTATATAACATACATATAATAATGTATACATACCCCAAACTGTACATATCAGAAAAACAAAAACTTGTATAAATATCTTAATATTAAATTTATTATGATTAATAAAATTAATAAATTGCCAAAGAGGAAAGTGATCAATGATTTCGTGTGTGCAAAAGGAGAGTCACATGGACAGAAAATATTTTCTCAGGCTTTCACAAAGAGCAAACTGGTCAAGCAATGACCATGATTCATCCACATGGCTGACACTAACAAAGGATTTGCAAAGTGCTGTACAGGGCTTCAGGATAAATCCTGAGGGGATTTGACAGACCTTGTCACATACAAAAGTTACATTTCTTGTTATATAGGCCTTGCTTTGTTTTGGTCTTAACCATCCAGCAGAAAAGTATAAAAATAAGGTATAAAAATTAAAGCCATATTAATATGCTGAGCTGTAAAAGACTCAAGTCAACAACTTCTGACATTGTCAGTCCTACAGATAACCCACTACTGTTATGGACTACTGGACTGTATTGGATTATTTTGCTGAGTTCATGCACCTACAATATTTAAATGACAATGGAATACCTATCTCTGAGAGAACTAAACAAAAAAAAGTGATACAAAGGAAGGACCATTTTGTATCTGTATATACAAAATAGGTAGGATAGATATACAGCTACTTTCCCTTAATTCAATGAATAGAAAGATTTGTACTAATAGTGTTTGGATAGGATATCATGTATTATAGGATAGGATATCTTGTATTATAAATAACCACTAAGATAATAATATGCAATGTGTTAATTATTGAAACTGTCCTACTAATTGTTTTTGAAACTGTCTCATTGTTATTTGTTTCTCAATAAAATTATTTTAAAATTACCTTTGGCCTCTACAATTACGAAAGGTAATCAGCTTCCAGGCATTTGTTAGTATGGTGAACTGCTGAATTATATATCCATTATTTTTTGCAGCCTTTCTCTGACTCTCTGTCTCTCTCTGTCTCTGTCACTCTGTCTCCCTGTCTTTATCTGTCTCTCTCTGTCTGTGTCTGTGTCTGT